CCCATTCCAAATCCTTAATCATTTTAGTTGTCCTTTTCTGAACCTTTTCTAGTGCCAGTATATCTTTTTTGAGATGAGGAGACCACATCTGTACGCAGTATTCGAGATGAGGGCGTACCATCGATTTATATAAGGGCAATAATATATTCTCACTCTTATTCTCTATCCCCTTTTTAATGATTCCTAACATCCTGTTTGCTTTTTTGACCGCCTCTTCACACTGCGTGGACATTTTCAGAGAACTATCCACGATGACTCCAAGATCTTTTTCCTGACTTGTTGTAGCTAAATTAGCCCCCGTCATATTTTATGTATAGTTGGCGTTATTTTTTCCAATGTGCATTACTTTACATAGTATAGCCTATAGTTACTCGGATCACTTTTCCCCCCTTTCTTAAAAATAGGAACAATGTTAGCAATTCTCCAGTATGGTACAACCCCTGAGTTTACTGATTCATTAAAAATTCTTGCTAATGGGTTTGCAATTTTATGTGCCAGTTCCTTTAATATTCTTGGATGAAGATTATCTAGGCCCTCCAGTTTTGTCCCATTAAGCTGTTCGAGTTTGGCTTCTACCTCGGATGTGGTAATATCTACCTCCATATCCTCATTCCCATTTGTCATCCTACCATTATCCCTAAGCTCCTCATTAGCCTCATTAAAGACTGAGGCAAAGTATTTGTTTAGATATTGGGCCATGCCTAGATTATCCTTAACCTCCATTCCATCCTCAGTGTTTAGCAGTCCCACTTCTTCTTTCATTGTTTTCTTCTTATTTATATAGCTATAGAACCTTTTACCATTGGTTTTAATTCCCTTTGCAAGGTCCAACTCTATATGGCTTTTTGCCTTTCTCACTTTATCCCTACATGTTCTGACCTCAATAACGTGGCTTTCCTTGCTAATCCCTCCGATCTTCCACTCCTTCCAGGTTTTCTGCTTTTTCTTAATCACCTCTCTGAGATGCTTGCTCATCCAGCTTGGTCTACAACTCCTGCATAGATTTTTTCCCCCTTTCTTGGGATGCAGGCTTCTGATAGTTTCTGCAACTTCGACTTGAAGTAATTCCAGGCCTCCTCTGGCTTTAGATCCACAAGTTCTTCAGTCCAATCCACTTCCCTAACTAATTTCCTTAATTCTTTAAAGTTAGCCCTTTTGAAATCAAAAACCCTAGTCCCAGATCTATTTTTGTTTATCCTTCCATTTAGTTTGAACTGAATTAGCTCATGATCACTCGAACCAAGGTTGTCCCCTACAACCATTTCTTCTACGAGGTCCTCACTACTCACCAAAACCAAATCTAAAATGGCATCCTCTCTTGTTGGTTCTTCAACTACTTGGTGAAGAAATCCATCTGCTATCACATCCAGAAAAATCTGAGCCCTATTATTATTACTAGCACTTGTCCTCCAGTCTATATCTGGGAAGTTAAAGTCTCCCATGATCACACAATTCCCATTAGTGTTTACTTCATTAAAAACATTAAAGAGGTCTCTATCCATATCCAAATCAGATCCCGGCGGTTTGTAGCACACCTCAAGCATTATCTCAGGGGAGGCTCTAGTAGCTTTCTTTCCCAATGTGATTTTTGCCCAGACAGATTCTGTCTTATCCATTCCATCACTTCTTATTTCTTTAGTTTACCTCATCATTGATATACAATGCTACTCCACCACCTTTGCCTTTATTTCTGTCTTTCCTAAACATCACATAGCCTTCAATACCTGTACTCCAGTCATGACTACTATTCCACCATGTTTCTCTTATCCCTATAATATCCGGTTTCACTTCCTGCACCAGTAGCTCTAGTTCCTCCATTTTGTTACCTAGGCTTCTCGCATTAGTGTACAAACATCTTAATTTTTGCCATTTGGCTTCTCTCACATTCTTTACCCGATTAGGCACAGACATTCTACCACCAGTATCACCTATTAGATTGATATCTACACTACCCTTCCTCCTTATGTCCATTCTCCTGCCCACGGCTGTATCCTTTCTTACTTTGTTTTCTTCCCGCTCAATGTCAAATTCTGGCATGGAGATTACCTGGCCATCTCCCAACCATCTCCCTCAAATTCCTAGTTTAAAGATCTCTTAATCAGTTGTGCCAGCCTCCATCCTAGAAGTCTATTTCCCTCCTTACTCAGGTGAAGTCCATCCCGAGAGAACAGTCCTCTGTCCATGAATGCTTCCCAGTGGCCATACATCCAAAAGCCCTCCTTATAGCACCACTGCCTGAGCCATCTGTTGATTGCCATAATCTTGTCATACCTTTGTTACCCTTCTCTAGGAACAGGCCGAATCCCACTGAAGATCACCTGAGCCTCGATTTCCTTAAGCATCTTCCCCAGTCTGGCATAGTCTCCCTTGATACGTTCCAGCGAGAATCTAGCTGTATCATTTGTTCCCACATGAAGGACAATCAACAGATCCTTTCCCACTCCCGTTAGGATCCTTTTCAGCCTCAGGTCCACATCCCGTATCTTAGGACCCGGCAGACAGCACACCCTTCTGTTCTCCAGATCAGCTCTAGTTACAGGCCTGTCTATTCTTCTCAGTAAGGAGTCCCCAATCACGTAGACCTGCTTTTTCCTGGTGACAGTTCACTCTGGCTGCAAGTCCTCTCGATTTCTTTGTCCCTTGCAATCCTCCGCAACCCATCCCATATCCTCCTGGGGCTCATATTTGGTGTGGTCTCCATTGACTCTTCCCCTCTTCCTATAGGACTAGCTGCTCTTCTCTTCTTCCTTGCCCTCTCACCTTCAGCTGATTAGCAGCACTCAATACTGTGTGGCTGGGAGCGAGTTACATGCTGGAGACTGTGTGTTATCTGCCCCGCAGTGGCTGTTCTCACAGTAAAGCAGTGTAAAAGGCAACCCAGCCTGGGGAACTGAGGGGACACATCTGTTCAACAGTCCAGATTGTACTGTGGTTAATGTCACAGACACTCAATTTCAAAGAGTCTCCTAAAACACAGAGAAAGTAAATCCATGTCCCAGAAATCAAAGTCTCCAGAGACAGGGCAAGTCTCCCTGGCACTGCTTCTTGCTGACAGGAGCTGAGACAATGAGAGAGTCCTGGGGAAGCTGGGAACAGTAAGCATGAGCTGGTGGGGTTCAGTGGAGAAAGGGAACAGGAAGGACAGGGATATTACTGAATGCAGGATCTCAGCAGTACTAGATGACAGGATAGCACATAGTGCAGCCCATTGGAAAACATAATCCCAACTATACATATAAAATGATGGGGTCTAAATTAGCTGGTTCCACTCAAGAGATGGATCTTGGAGTCACTGTGGATAGCTCCCTGAAAACATCCACTCAATGTGCAGAGGCAGTCAAAAAGCGAACAGAATGTTGGGAATCATTAAGAAAGGGATAGATAAGACAGAAAATATCAAATTGACTCTATATAAATCCATAGTATGCCCATATCTCAAATACTGCATGCAGATGTGGTCGCCCCATCTCAAAGAAGATATAATGGAATTGAAAAAGGTTTAGAAAAGGGCAAAAAAATGAGTAGGGGTATGAAAGAGCTTCTGTATGAGGAGAGATTAAAAAGACTGGGACTGTTCAGCTTGGATAAGAGACAAGCGGGGAGAGGAGAGAGGTCTATAAAATCATGACTGGTGTGGAGAAAGTAAATAAGGAAGTTATTTACTACTTCTCATAACACAAGGATTAGGAATCACCAAAAAAAAAAATGTATAGGCAACAGATATAAAACAAACAAAATGAAGTGTGTCTTCACACAGTGCACAGTCAACCTGTGGAACTATTTGCCAGAGGAGGTTGTGAAGGCCAAGATTATAACAGGGTTCAAAAAAAGAACATGATAAATTCATGGAGGATAGGTTCATCAATGGCCATGAGTTAGGGTGGGCAGGGAAGACGTCTGTAGCTTCTTTTTGCTATAAACTGGCAAAGCATGACAGGTGATGGATCATTTGATGATTACCTGTTGTGTTCATTCCCTCTGGAGCGCCTGGCATTGGCCACTGTCTGAAGACAGTATACAAGGCTGGGTCGACCTTTGGACAGACCCAGTATGGCTGTTTTTATGTACTAGGGAATCGAGTGAGTCCAGTGAAATGGGATGGAGTAGGAAAAATCCCTGGGTGTGGAGAACACTGGGAAATTAGAAGCTATAATTCAGGAGCAACAGACTCTAATTAGTCTGGAAAAGCAGAATGTGAAAAATAAGAATCAGGGTCTTGTGACTTCAGGAACGAGGGACTCAAATCCAAGGAGCCTGCAGAGAAGAGAGATTGTGGCTATTTCACATGGTGATGGGGGAGCAAGACTCTCCATGTCTCAAGAAGTTTCATTACCAACCTAAGCCATTTTCACATGCTGGTGTGAAATCCAGAGCAGTGAGGAGTTGTGTCATCTGTAATCCTGGGTGAGATTCAGTGTTCTGCTGCTGGAGCTCCCTTGTCTGGATACCAACAGCCAGCATTCAAGAACACACTGAGTGTCTGTGAGATAATTAACCCTGGACCAGCAGATCTGACTCCAGGAACCTGTTTGCTACACCCCAAGCACGTTCTGGTCCGGGTGGAGTAGGCTCAGGGTTTGAGAGAAGGTCAGGGGTAGGAAGCTTCTGTTCGTTATGCTGGACCTAACCCCCCGTTTTACTTGAGCAAAGAGATATTTGACACTGTGTGACACTGCTCCTGTGCTCTGATCTCAAAGTTTTCTGCAGCAGGGGAGATGCTCTGGCAGTGTGTGTGTCACTGGCATATTGGGGTGATGCTGAAAGAGGACAGAGTAGAGGTGGTATTGTGGAGGTGGCATGAACTTTAACTCTTCATTTCCCCTTCCAAGAACCAAGGGGACAGGAATCCTTACCCAGCGAGGTCACATTCTCATAGTTCTCCTGCATGACGTCCCTGTAGAGAGTTCTCTGAGCGGGATCCAGTAGAGCCCACTCTTCCCTGGTGAAATACACAGCCACCTCCTCGAAGGTCACCGGCCCCTGAAACAGCAAGAGTCCAACACTCAGTACCTGCTTCCCCACTCACACTCCAAATCAAATGGAAGCTCTGGTAGATTGCAGTCAACAGAGTCCCACCCCCAGCCCGCTCAGAACATCCTGGAAACACCAGGGTGAAGGGACAAAGAGAGAGACCCTTGTCTCTACCAGCAGATCCATCACACACCTACTAGCCACCAACTGATACAGGAGATGGAGCCACTAGCAGGGTCCAGGGAGAGTTCCGTGGAAGGAAGCCCAACACCCTCCTCATTGTGAGAAGCTGCATTTTTTTAGCCCCATGAAGGTAGGTTATTTTCTGTTGAACAAATTAGAGCATTTCCACCTCCTAACCTCATGGGTCTGTTCCTAGAATCTAGGCCACTTATTAAACAACTCCCAGCAGATTTGCCACAACCTGTCCTCCTCCCTCTCCCACCCTGTGAATTTTCTGCCCACTCCAACCTCCAAACCAGACTGTGCAAACCTTCCCCATCTCTGGTGTATTTGGTGTCCCTCTCCTTCCTGCAGGAACCCACCAGCAATCCCCCAATAATCCCTACCTGAACTTGTTCCACTGCAGCCATTTTTCTCCCCTGTCCCATGGGAGGATGGGATGAGCTGGAGCAAAACAGGGATGTCATTCTGCAGCCTGGGAGGGTGAGAAGGGTAATTGGGAAGGTTTCAGAACAGGCTTTAGTTCATTTCACATCACGATTCCCCCAGGCCCTTTCCCTCTACATCCTAGAGTCTGCCATGCTGGGAAAATGCTTGATCTCTTTATTACAGTGTAGACCTGGTTCCTCCTGCCAGACTAAGCCCATACAGAAATTTTTAACTTCCCTTCTCCCTCCCCTCATCCCATAACAAAGTCTCTGAACACAATGCTAGAAAAGAGCTGAACCAAAGGAGTCACTGTGGGGATTCTCTTGGACACTGACCCCAAAGCAGTAGGAATATGGAGTGAGGAACTGGCTTTTCCTCTGTCTGATCCTTTTCTTGTTTACTGGAAAGTGATTCTGCCCAGGGATCATAGACCCATAGAATATCAGGGTTGGAAGGGACCTCAGGAGGTCACCTAGTCCAACCCCCTGCTCAAAACAGGGCCAGTCCCCAATTTTTTGGCCCAATTGGCCCCCTTAAGGATTGAACCCACAACCCTGGGTTTAGGAGGCCAATGCTCAAACCAGTGAGCTATAACTCCCCCCCAATGCTGCAATACATCTGTATGGGTGGATTAGAGAGCTGGAAATCTCTCCCTCAATTCATTTCTACCACTACCCCTTTCAGTCTCTCCTTCCCCTGTCCTCTCTCCCTGCCCCTCTGGCTGCAAAAGTCCCATTCCTGGGTACTTTGCTCTCCCATGGCTGGATTTTCTCCTGGCAATTGCTAATGGGAGGAGAAATGGGGGGGAGGGGCTGTTTGTGCAGAGTCACTTTCATGCCAATCCACAGCACTTTCCCTGATAAGAGGGAATTTCATATTGCTATAAAATAACTAGCTGGAAAAGGGGGACTGTTTGACTGGATTTTATATGACTGTCTAATACATTATCACTTTCTGTTTGTTCCCCCCCTCCCCCTGCCACCATGCACATGGGCAGCAGGGAGCCCTTTGAGGAGCTGCTTTAAGGGGGGGGAGCTGGAAGGCTTCCTGGATGAGGGAAGGGGCAGCAGTGGGGGATGGGCACGTGACTAGTAACTGGGGGCAACTGTGTTAATTAGGGGGCAACAAGTGGGATTGGGAAACCGGGGTCTGGGCAGTCTCCATGGGGGACACATATTCCTCCCTTCGCTACCCCGGCAGAGAACGGGCATCTCATCCCATCCCCACTCCAGGGGGGCCATGTTTCAGGGAATGACTCAGGGCAACAATTTCCCACCTAAACAAGGAGAAATCGCTGCAGCTAAAATGGGTGAGAAAATCCCCCACATCGGAGAGATTTTAAATTGACATTTGAGACTCATGGAGAGAACGGGGAAATTGGGGGAGAGGAGAGAGCTGATCATTTGAGGGGAAAGGGGGGAATCTGCCTGGATTTTACAGCCACGTGTGAGATACTGAGAGAGAAAAGTTTCAGAGTAGCAGCAGGTTGTAGATCTCGGATGATGCGCTGGAGAGGTTTTAGTTGGGGGCTGAAGGTGACAGCTAGTGGTGTTCTGTTATTTTCTTTGTTGGGCCTGTCTTGTAGGAGGTGACTTCTGGGTACTCATCTGGCTCTGTCAATCTGTTTTTTCACTTCAGCAGGTGGGTATACAAAACAGTGAAAAAACAGATTGACAGGGCTAGACGAGTACCCAGAAGTCACCTCCTACAAGACAGGCCTAACAAAGAAAATAACAGAACACCACTAGCTGTCACCTTCAGCCCCCAACTAAAACCTCTCCAGCGTATCATCAGAGATCTACAACCTATCCTGAAAGATGATCCTTTACTCTCACAGATCTTGGGAGACAGACCTGTCCTCGCTTACAGACAACCCCCAACCTAAAGCAAATACTCACCAGCAACCACACATCACTGAACAAAAACACTGACCCAGGAACCTATCCTTGTAACAGAGCCCGATGCCAACTCTGTCCACATATCTATTCAAGTGACATCATCATAGGACCTAATAACATCAGCCATACCATCAGGGGCTCGTTTACCTGCACATCTACCAATGTGATATATGCCATCATGTGCCAGCAATGCCCCACTGCCATGTACATTGGCCAAACTGGACAGTCTCTACGCAAAAGAATTAATGGACACAAATCTGACATCAGGAATCATAATACTCAAAAACCAGTGGGAGAACACTTTAACCTGTCCGGCCATTCAATGACAGACCTGCGGGTGGCTATCTTACAACAGAAAAACTTCAAAAACAGATTCCGAGAGACTGCTGAGCTGGAATTGATATGCAAACTAGATACAATCAACTCAGGATTGAACAAGGACTGGGAATAGCTAAGCCATTACAAACATTGAATCTATCTCCCCTTGTAAATATTCTCACACTTTTTTATCAAGCTGTCGGTACTGGGCTATCTTGATCATCACTTCAAAAGTTTTTTTTCTCTTAATTAATTGGCCTCTCAGAGTTGGTAAGACAACTCCCACCTGTTCATGCTCTCTGTATGTGTGTATATATATCTCCTCAATATATGTTCCACTCTATATGCATCCGAAGAAATGGGCTGTAGTCCACAAAAGCTTATGCTCTAATAAATTTGTTAGTCTCTAAGGTGCCACAAGTACTCCTGTTCTTTTTGAGAGAGAAAAGGGGAAGAACTAGAGAGAATTTGTATCGGGGGTGAGAGGCAAGTGGCACAAACAGGGACAGGATCCAATTAACTCCCCTTCCCCAGTCCACCACTTCTCCCCCGGGGATTTCTTAGCTACACAGAGACAGTTCAACTCCCCCCACCCCACTGACTCTCAGGGGACCCCCCCTCGGGCCCCCGTCTCTACCCCCCCAATCCCAGCGGTGCCGGGGGCAGATCCTGCTGCAGCTCCACTGGGGCCGAGGAAGCTCCGAGGCTTCTCCCAGGTTCCCCGGGGCGGAGAGTCACTTTCCTGCCTGGCCCCAGCGCCCCCCGGGGTCTCTCACTCACCTGGTGAACTCCGGAGAAAGCCCCCCCAGCCGGATCACACGGAGGCAGCACTGATAGTGATGTTGGCCGGGGGAGAGGGGAGAACGAACGGGACTGGAACAGAACAGGCGCAGTAACAGCTGCTGAAACCCTCCCTTCTCGGGGCAGGCCGGGAGCGGAAGTGACATAGGGAGGGGGAAAGGACGAGACCGAGCCCGATTGCGAACGCGCGCGGGGCGCTGCGGCTCTGCCTGGCTCGTGCGGGGCCGTTGGAGCCTCTCCCGGAGCTGGAGAAGAGTTTTGTGCCGCTCAAGCTCTGGGCAGGTGCAGATCGGGGGCAAGTCCCGCATGCGCAGAGGCAGCGCTCACCCGGTGCTGCTCCCTGGCGCTGCGGGGCCGGGCTGAGCAGGAGGGTCTGTGCCGGGGAGACCCATTAACCCCTCCGTGCCCGGCCCGCGCCCTGCTCCCGCTGGGGCCGCCCCGGGCTCTGCCCGCCCCGCTGCGGAGCTGCAGCCTCCAGGTACCGGAGCGAGCCCCGGGGTCGGGGCCGGGCGGTGACTCTGCCCCAGTGTCCGTGGGGGGGACCCGGCATCTCGCAGCGCCGGGATCTGCTCCCTGGGGGCAGCGCCCGCGGGGGGCTCGGAACTGCTGTCCCCGCAGGAGCCCAACGCCCCCGGACCCGGCCAGGCTCTGCCCTGGGGCCCCACGGGGGGTCCCGGAGGGAGAGGACCAGCCCCCACTGGGGTCCCTGCGTGGGGCTGGACGGGGGCTGCTGGGGGGCGGAGACCTGGGAAAGTGGCGGATGGAAAATGTCTGTGCAGTCCGGACATGGCCTGGGGAGGAGAAGAGCAGGTGACCCCCGGGGAGCAGGGAGAGGAAGGGGGAGCCGGTGTGACGCCATGGCCACGTATAGCAACTCTCCCATTTTGCAACTGGGTGCGGTTTCCACCACGCAACGTGACATCTGGGTTACGGGAGCAGGGTCTGTTTGTGTCGCTGCCCCCTCCCGTGGGGACCCCCCCATCCTCTCCTGTCTTGCCCCCTTTCTCTTTAGAGAGCAATGAGCAACATCCAGGGTGACTCCCCCTTTCCCTCAAATTCCTGAGAAGGTCTCTGTTCTTCCCCTCCCCACTAGTCACATTCCCAGACCCCACTGCCAGTCCCTACCCACAGCCAGTGACCTTCTGGCTCCATCCCCACTCCTTTCCCCTGTGAAAGCCACATCACCCAGGGCTCTGCTGGCCATGTGAATATGTGACCAGATGAATCCATCCCATTCTGTTGTTGATTGAATATCCGTGTATAATCCCCTCAAATTTTCCCTCCTTTCCCTTGAACCGTTGAATGATGACATAAAATCTCCCCAGATGTTGGTGCTTCTCTCTTACATTGTCAAATATTTAGTTTGTGCCCCATTTTCTCCTCAGTTCTGAAATACTGAAATTCTTGAAAATCTTCCTGCTTTTCTCTCCAGGTGTCTGACTGAGATCAGGGCTCTTATCGTACTGAGTGTGGAACAGGCCTTGCCTGAGATCTGGTCCCCCAGTGTGCTGGGCACTGCACAAACCCTGACCAAGTTTGGGGCACTAGTTGTGCCAGGAACTGCACAGACCGCTACAAAGAGCAGGGGCTACAGTGACCTTGACTGACCTCTGGGCTCCTGTTGTGCCAGGCCCTGCAAAGAAACCAAGTGAAATCAGGCTCCCATTGTGCCAAGTACTGCAGAGACCACAAACAAAATCAGGGACCTTGTTGTTCCTGGAGCTGCAGAGACCCCAATTGAGATCTGGGCCCCGTTCTGCCAAACTCTGCAGAGACCCCAACAGAGGTCAGACCCCACTGTTGTGACAGGTGCTGTGGAGACTCCAACTGAGATCGGCGTCCCTGTTGTGCCAGGTAAAACCGAGACTGAGATCACAGCCCCCCTGGTGCCAGGCAGCGCATGACTGCTGCCCAGATTGCTGCCTCCATTGTGCTGAGCTTGAGAGACCTCAACTGAGATCTGTGTCCCCATTGTGCCTGGCACTGTACTGACCCTGACAGAGATCCTGCCCCCACATTTTGCCAGATGCTGCAGGGACCCCAAACAAAATCAGGGATCCTGTAATGCCGGGAGTTGCAGAGCCTCCCACTGAGGTCAGGCCCACTGTTGTGCAGGGCTCTGCACAGACACTCACCAAGATCAGGGTCCCCATTGTGACCGGTGCTGCACACACCAAGGGTATCTCTACACTGCCATTAAAAACCCACAGCTGGCCCATGCCAGCTGACTCAGGCTCACAGGGCTCAGGCGAAGGGGCTGTTTAATTGCAGTGTATATGTCTGGGCTCGGGCTGGGGCCAGGCTGTAGGACCCTGCAAGGTGGGAGGGTGCCAAACCTTGGGCTGCAGCTAAAGCCAGAACATTGACACCACAATTAAACAGCCTGAGCCGTGTGAGCTCAAGTCAGTGGGCACGGGCCAGCTGCCGGTGTCTAACTGCAGTGTAGACATACCCACAATGACAGAGAGTCCTTGCCACAAAAAGCTCAAAGGCTAAATAGACAAATGGTGAAGACGACTCTCCATTTTACAGATGGGGAAACTGAAGCTCAAAGAGCTGAAGTAATTTGCTCAAGTGTGCATGGAGAATTTGGGACAAAACTGGGAACTGAACCCAGATTGTTTGAATTCTTGCCTCTCCACTTAACCCCAAGCCCAGCATGTACGTATGCCTTCCAAGGGAAGTTGTGGAATTTCCTTCATTGGAGGTTTTTAAGACCAGGTTAGAGATGCACCAGTCTGGGAATGTCTAGGGATACTTGGTCCTGCCTCAGCACAGGAGGCTTGAGGAGACGACCTCTCAAGATCCCTTCCATGCCTACATTGAAATAATTCTCTTTTGTGCTGTGTCCTATTCTACGCTGAGCTTTTTTGCTTGCTTTTTTGCATGGAACTGTGATTGCACCATGCTGTCTTGCATAGTTTTATGGTGCATTGTTTTGCCTCACCTTGTTTGGTGTCTGTTTTGTGTTGGTTTGAGTTGAGCTCTTTTGCATTGTGTACTTTTGTCCTAGGGTGTGTTAGTTTTCATTGTGTTGCTTTCTTTTCCTTTGTATTGTGTCATTTTATGTTGTGGAGTGTAGTTCTTTGTTGTTGTTTTTCTGAATTGCCTGACATTATGTTGTGGTGGGGATTTTTCTGTATGTTGTCTTTTTATACGTATATATTACATAGCATCATAGACATGTAGGGCTGGACAGGCCCTCAAACTGTCATCAAGTCCAACTCTCTCTGCCGAGGCTGGACCAAGTATATGTAGATTATCTCTGACAGAGATTTGTCCTACCTGTTCTTAAAAACTTCCAGGGACAGAAACTCCACAGCCACCCTTGTAAGACTATTCCAGAGCTGAACTACTTTAGCTCTGGTGACACCCACACAGATTTTAGTGGTGAGCAGCTCTGGAGAGAGAGGAGATCCCAGTGAGTGGGCAGCTGGGTAAATAGACTAAAGTTGGCAGGAGAAACATTGACGTGCCCCAGGTCACCCAGGCTGTCCATGACAGAGCTAGAAATAGATCCCAGTTCTAGTGTCACTGTACTGCTGTTTTGGGTACTGAAGATCTCTGCAACACTGGTGTTTTAAGCACTGGTGTAAACCCTTAGTATAGACAGAATTTACACTAGTGCACTCTGGCACTGGTGCACAATGTCTCAGTTTGAAGGTTTGGGGTGTGGGGAGACAGTGACCTCACTGAGGCCTGGGGCTGGCTGAACAGTGCAGCTGGTAACAGAGGGGCAGCAGTGAGTGCTGGAGGTATGAGCCAGGAGCACAGTCCCACAGGACTGAACACTGACTTCTCCTGACCCAGCTGTGTGCAGGGACTGCAGCTGAGGCCAAGACAGCCTGTGCATTCATGGACAAACCACCTTTTTCTGCAGCCTAATACAATGGGGTTTGGGGATCTTTCCAAGCTGCGGGTGACGGGGCTCTGGAGTTACCAGGGTCTGTTCCTGGCTCTGTCACTGACCTGCTTGGTGACGTCACAGCTCCTCTCTGTTTTCCTCCTACCCATTGTCTACTTGGATTGTGATTTCTTTGGGGGATGGACTGTCCCGCTCTGTCTGTGCAGTGCCCAGCACAATGGGGGTGCTGATCTCAGTCATGTTCTCTGCCATGCACAACACAATGGGGCCCTGATCACCATCAGTGTGTCCTCAATCATTATTTAAAGATTTCAAGTTACAAAAAAAATCCACCGTTTACATTAGTTTAAATCTGCAAATGACCCATGCCATGCCCCATGCTGCAGAGGAAGGCAAAAAAAAAAACAAACAAAAAAACAACCCAGTGTCTGGGCCAATCTGAGTCTGGGCAAAATTCCTTCCCATCCCCAAATATGGCAATCAATTAGACCCTGAGCATGTGGGCAAGACCCAGCGGTCAGACACCTGGGAAAGAATTCTCTGTAGTAACTCAGAGCCCTCCCTATCTAGTGTCCCATCACTGGCCTTTGGAGATATTTGCTGCTAGCATTTGCAGATCGACTATGTGCCATTGTAGGCAGTCCCATCATACCAATCCCTCCATAAAGGTATCAAGCTCAGTCTTCAAGCCAGTTAGGTTTTTTGCCCCCACTGCTCCCCTTGGGAGGCTGTTCCAAAACTTCACTCTGATGGTTAGAAACCTTCACCTAATTTCAAACCAAAATTTATTGATGGCCAATATCCATTTGTTCTAGTGCCAACATTGGTGCTTAACCTAAATAACGCCTCTCCTTCCCTGGTATTTATCCTTCTGACGTATTTATAGAGAGTGATCATATCTCCCCTCAGCCTTCTTTTGGTTAGGCTAAACAAGCCAAGCTCTTTGCGTCTCCTCTCATAAGGCAGATTTTCCATTCCTCAGATTATCCTAGCATCCCTTCTCTGCACCTGTTCCACTTTGAATTCATCCTTCTTAAACATGGGAGACCAGAATGGCCCACAGAATTTCAGATGAGTTCTCATCAGTGCCTTGTATAACAGTACTAACTCTTCCCTGTGTCTACTGGAAATACCTCGCCTGATGCATCCTAGGGCTGCATTAACCTATTTCACGGCTGCATCACATTGGGGGTCTGGGGCTCTGATAGTTAGGGACGTTCCTTTTTGCATATTCAGTTATTTCCTTTATTGTTTTACCGCTGCCTGTGCCTGATGTCACTCCCTTCTTAACTTGCTTTGGTTATTTCAGTTCCAGTTTTTTAATGAGATCTAATAATTGCAAAGCTGAATGAAAGATGAAACACACAGATCCATTTGAATTTTGGCACATAGCTGGTAAAACTATACCTAGTGAAGGTCTGCTGTAATTACCTGGTTACCTATAGTATTTTCTGGTGGGCTGGATAAAGCAATGTCAAAGAGCCAAAAGCAATTTTTAGGGTGAATGGGCTCATCACGTGTTTGGTCTCTAGGGAGCATGTCACCGGCCAGGGCTTGCACTGTTTCAGGAGTGGTGCGCTGGATTGTATTTAGTAATCTCAAAATAAAAGGTTAAGACTGCTGGTTCACAATATCCAATGAAATCTTGCAAACAATTATACAAATAGCCTCTAATGTTATTAAAACACATGGTATTAATACTGATTCAAAACTGAAATTAAAATTATGAGATAAACGCATGAGAAAGGAACTGACACCTAATTTCCATTTCTTAATTCCTGAACTTTTGACACTCGCTCACACCATGTTTTTTTAAAAAGATCTCTTGGACAGACAAGGTGGGTGAGGTAATTTCTTTTAGAACCAATTAAAAATACTTCTCTTTGATATCCTGGCACCAACATGGCTACAACAACTCTTCTCCCTTTGTACCGCCTCCCATTCTCACCTCCCCCTCAGCTGAGAATGTCCCATGTGATAGGAAAATAAGGGTTCATCCTGTAACTGGATAAGGTCTTGCCAGCACTAAGGGGAGTGAAAGTCTGTGTGTATTAATGACAGCAGCAGCTCTGGAACTTGGAGACATAGGGAGAAGAGATGGGAGTGAGCAGGTTATGTTTGTGCAGGGTGCGAGTTACTCATGTGGGAATTCTGCACCACTGTGTATGTGCAGAATTCACATCCATTGAAGAACCTTTTTTTTACATAAAGAAAATATATTCTGCCCGAGAAGTGCTACAGTTCTGCCTTTCACGCACCAGAGGCCCCTATGGCACCAGAACAGCCAGCAGGGTTCATCTTGGTGGTAAATTGTTGCTCTGAGCTATACCCCAAATGACAAGAGATTTAGTGGGTGCAACTTGGGAGAGTCCTGAGACACGACTGCTCCTGGGGGTGGGGAGAGGGTGGTCATTCTTTACTCTTAAGAGGGTGTGGAAGGGGCACAGGAGGAGCAAGTGTCCCCCATGGAGACTGCCTGGCCCCAGGTTACCTAGTCCCAGCTGCTTCTTCCCCCCACCATATCCTAAACCTCTTCACCCCTCCAACTATCAGCTGCCAGTCTACCCTCGCTGCTACCCCTTCCTGACTGGCAGAGAAATTCTAAGATCTAGCCCCTTCTCTTTAACTCTCAACCCCAGTTTCAGTTGTTTGGTGGTACCCCGCTGGTTTTCCATTGGTAGTTTGGGAGGGAACAAGGCTGGTCACTTGAGCCTTGTGTTACCTGGCAGCTGACTAGTGAGGAGTGATGACTCCCTCTGGGGTGGATGGGCCAATCTTGGGGCCCAGTACCTTTCAGTGATTGATTTTTCCATTCCAAGTCCATAAAGTAGATTTTCAATATAAATGGTTTGTTCCCTACATGACACATACGTTGATCTCAGTCGTCATGAGTCTTGACCAGTTATGAGCTTTCTGTAGACACCTCACATGACCATCTTCCAAGAGCTGTGTTTGCTGTGATGGGTTTGACAGCAGCTCAAGTGAGAGC